TCTCTGGAGACCCCAGCTGTCCCCCCAAAACCTTCGCTCCCCTGAGACAGTTCCTGGGAGCTTTCTCCTGATGTCGCCCCCTACCCCTTTCTCAAAGACCCTTCCTTGGGACGTCCCTCATTCCCCTCCAGGGAGCTGAACTCTGCCACCCACCAGACAGGCACCCGCCCCCTAAACCCCCCCATTCCTTCCCATCGCCCGCTCCTCCATAACCACTTCCGGTTCCGGGACGGACACAGTCACATCGTGGACCCCCCTCCCCGTCCGCTAAGGAAAAGGGGAGGGGGGAGGAGCAGGGAGCTCGGCGCGCGCCGGCTGCAGCGGCGCGAGACTCACCCGGCGGCGACGGCTGCGGCGGCGCCAGAGCCTGAGCCGGAGCGCGGGTGGGGCGGCGTTTGCTGGGAAAGGAGGGAGCCGAGTGGGGTGGGAGGACCAAAAGGGGGCGAGGGAGGGGGGAGAGCGCAAGGCGTACGGCGCGGGCACGCACTTCTGGCGCGAGACAGACCCACACACTCACACGCACGGAACGCGCGCGAGACACCCGCAGGGCGGGGGCGCGAGGCAGTGGGTGGGCCCCCTCCTTGCCTCCCTCCCTCCCCTTGCACTCACCCGGAAGTGGTGCTGCAGTTCTTGCTCCCGCGAACCCCAATTCCTCCACGCCCCCCTCCCTCCCTCCCCCCCACAGACTCAGAGAAGAGCTCTGCGGAGAGAAGGCGGGAGAGCCGGAAACGAAAAGGGGGGAGGGAGGGAAATAGCAATGTTGGGGGGGCGCCAATGGAGAAAGAGGGGAGTGCAAAAGTCGAGTCACTTCCGGGAGTGGCTGGAACACATCCGGCGCCGCTAGCGCTGCGGGATTTTTCAGGGCAGAAGTTATGATAACTCGGGGCGGAAGTAGCTTCTGCCCAGCGACGCGGGTAAAACCCGCGGTGGATGTGACGCCACGGCGGAAGTGAAGGCGGGCTCTGCTAAGGGCAAAAGCTGAACCGGAGGGCTGCCGCCCGGGGCTTCCGGAAGGGACTTCTGGGGAAGTGGGAGGGTGGAAACGCGACAGGTTCATGAATTATGCATCAAGGTAGGAGAGGAGGTGTAGGCTCTTCAGCTGCTGGGACCCCGTTTCTCTTCCCTCTGGGTGGAATAAGCTGATAGAGGAAGTGACCATTATTTTTTCTGATACCCCCAAGAATGTCTTAGTGCTTTGAATATGCGAGAATGGACTAGGACGTGTCCATGTTTTTCTGAGGTTTCTGCTTAGGCTCAGGGTTACAACCTCTCCCAGCCATCAAAATCTGCCTCTCTTGACACATCCCTTACTCTTTTTACTTTCGTCTCTTCTTGTTGCCCATACTCACATATCTATCGCCTTACCCTGTTTTACTTTCAAATACAGCACTCATTACTACCTGATACATTGTTTGCTGTTCACCTCTTCCCACTAAAATACTGGCTACAGGACAGCGAGGACTGAATTGTTCATTGCTGAATCCTCATATCCTGGCACTTAAGTGGTTTGTAAATTCCTGTTGTATAAGTTTGGTTCATTATGAACACCTAATAAGAACCCTTTCAGGAAACCTTCCTTGATTGCTCTGACCTGTAATGGTCCCTTTGCATTCTTACAGCATTTAATGCATACCTTTTATTGATATTTTATTTCCTACATGTGATTCCCCAGCAAGATTGTCAGCTCCTCAGGGAAGAAAATACGCTGCTTTGCTGAGCACATAGTAAATGCTGAATAAATATATGTTGTTTGAATAAATGAATGCTATTAAAAGCGTGCACCGTGACCTGGCCAGAATCCCTCTGGGTCCAGCTCTGAGCAGAACTGTGGTATCTCCTACTAGCGGTAAGAGCCCTTTGCTGAGAAAAATAACTTTTTTTTTGAGATGGAGTCTCGCCCTGTCGCCTAGGCTGGAGTGCATTGGGTGTGATCTTGGCTCACTGCAACCTCCATCTTGTGGGTTCAACCCATTCTCCTGCCTCAGCCTCCTGAGTAGCTGGGATTACAGGCACCCGCCACCAGGCCTGGCTAATTTTTTTGTGTCTTTAGTAGAGATGGGGTTTCACCATGTTGGCAAGGCTGGTCTCGAACTCCTGACCTCATGATCTGCCTGCCTCAGCCTCCCAAAGTGCTGGGATTACAGGTGTGAGCCAACGTGCCAGTCGAAAAATAACTTTAACAGAAATAATTACAATGTCCATTTTACAGATAATGAAAATAAGCCTCTGAAGGTTTAAGTTATTTTTTCCCCACAAGGTCAAAGCAGGAAGGTAACAAAGTACACCTTTAAATATTTAAATAGATGATGCCTCTCTTTGTAATTGTAGTTTGTATCTTTAAGTGTCTGTTCCCTTTATCACATTTTTGGGCTCAGCACCCAATCTCTGTTGACTGAGTAGCAACAGTTGGCAGAATTAGGATCTTAAGGGCTCAGACGCAACCAGACCTAGTGCTGTGTGGATTAGAGATTGCGGATTCAAGAAGCCTTGACATCAGGGGCTGGTATTAAAAGGTGGGAACAAGAAATAGTGGTAATTACTGTACCTCCTCGTTCTCCTCCTGTTCTTTTCCTATTTACATTAACTGAGCCCTTCCCGGGCCTCAGTATCTCTGTCAGCCCTGTTCCTGCCTTTGCTATAAGAAGCAAGTTTCCCATCTACTTGGGAGGCTGAGGCAGGAGCATCACTTGAACCTGAGAGGCGGAGGTTATGGTGAGTTGTGATCACGTCATTGCACTCCAGCCTGGACAACAAGGGCAAAACTCTGTCTCAAAAAAGAAAAAGAAGAAGCAAGTTTCAAGTATTCTGAACTCCTTAGGAAAACGCTTTAGAACAATAAATGTGGGGCGTAGGGGAGGAGGGCTGTTAATTTTAGCCTGGGGTTCTCCAGCTGGCATGCTGTTTCCATCTTGAATCACTTCCACACCCTGAGCTGTGCCTGGGAGATCCCTCCCTCCTCCTGGGGGCTTCCCCATTCCCTGGTTTGGTCTGAGCCACAATGGCAAGCATTCCAGAAAAAATGCTAAGAGAAGCCTGGCTGAGTCATTTGATGCACAGCTCAGGAGGCGAAGAAAGGATGGTGGTATGAGATGCTGGTTCCAGTGGTGCCTGTGATGTGTGACCTCAAAGAACCTTCCAGTTCCCAAAAGGGCAGCATGGCCATTGTTTTGTTCTTGGTTAGTGACTCTGCTGCAGCCTTCTGAGGACCTCCCAAAGCCCCACAGTCTCTGTTTCAACTACAGGAGAGAGAAAAGAGCCTCATGACTTCATGGCTAACATGACAGTGCAATATCGTTTGGGAGGATTCTTTTAATACAGCTCAGAGCTTGGGATGGTCTCCTTCCTTCTCTATCTTTCCTGCCATCTGACTTTCCATGGGGAAAGGAGGACATTTAAGGAGAGGGAACAGGTGAAGATTTCCAGTATCTTGCTGGTGTATTTTAATTTATTTAAATTTACAGAAACGGCGGTCTAATCAGGCAGTGATTAATTCCCTCTTCATTAGGGGCCTTCATGTGTGCCTTCTGCATATGGATGAGCCACGGGTCACACTGTCCCTCTGAGGAGAGATCCTTGCTGAAGGTGAGAGCCCAGTGTGCTCTCTGGCACTTGAGCTCCTTCGCCTTCTGTGCCAGTGCTTCTCTCTTCTCCCCACCCTCAGCTGACAAGGACTAGATTCCTGCCGGGAAGGAAGGGAAGGTTAATGAAGCTTCCTCTCCCACCCTCCTTGGATCTGGATGCTTCCCTTCCGGCCCAGAGCGTCTGCTGTCCACACCTCATCCTGTACCCTCAGGTTCCATCCAGCCCGCTCCCTCCCATCAGCTGCCTGCTGGAATCTCTTCATGTCCCAGTGAGTTGACTCCTCAGAAGCTTATTTGCCTGGCACCTCTGCTTTGAGTTGGTTCATCAATCCTTGGCCCCGCTCTGCATCTTTCCTCTGTAGCAGTCCTTTTCTTAGGGAGTCTGACGCCCTGAATGCACACACTGCTCTAGTCCTGAGAAATACGCTGCCTCCTCCTGGCACTCACCGTTATGTGCTGCACAGGCTCAGCCACACTTCCCTCAGCTCACAGTAAAGCTCCCAACACACCAACACACAGACATTCCTATCCTAGCTTGAAAGATAAACGTATAGGGGCATATACAGTCTAGGGCAGCCTGGGCACCCCCTTTTGCACACTACATCATCCCTATCCTCCCTGGGGCCACCCCATTTCCAGGGAGCAAGTGGGGCACAGATTGGGGGAGGGGGGAGAGATGGGACCTGGGTGGTTACCATGGAAATAGAGCCTAGCAACAGCTGAGAGGCTGATGTGTGGGTTTTCACAGGGCTGTTTCAAGAGCCAAACCTAGAACTGGGGACTCAGAGGTGACTGATCCCAGCTGGGCAGTCTGCATTCCCTCCCCAAACACACCCCTTGATCCTGCCCCCACACTCCTGCAGTGCCTCTCTCAGGGCAGAGTGGGGAAAGCTAATGAGTTAACCACAGGGCTTCTGATTCTGCTCAGCTTTTGGGGGACAGCTGTGGGTGGGGGCAGGTTAGGGAGCAAGGCTGAAAATAAACCAAGCAGGGCAGCTTCTTTCAGATGGCGCCCTCTCATCTTTTCTCCATTGCTCCATTTTTCTCTTCTGCTTTCCCCCTTCTCCCACTGACTCTTACCAGCTCTCTCTTCCTCCTCGTTCCACTTCCTATCCTTCTATGTAATTTTCCTTTTCTACTGTCTCCCTTCTTAGGGTCTCTCTTGACCCTCCTTGGCAAGGAACAAGTGAGCCACAATTTCTATTCTAGTTTCTCTCTTGTACCACTGCTCCTCATCAGGACTGCTCCCTTCCATTTTGTCCCAAGTTAAAGCCCCAATTGGACCCCAACTCCAGGTCAGAGGAGGGCAGGTGACTTAGGTCTGGAGGGGGTCCCCACCTCATCCTGTACCTCCTACTGGCTGCCCACCCCGTCTCCTCCTCTCTACGGGGGTCAGAAGGCAGAATCAGGGGACTTGAGTATCTTGCAAAGGCTTTATTTGAAAATTTTGAAACTTACATCCCACAGTAATTCAAGATGATCACCACAAGAAGAAGAAAGAGATAATACAAAAATATATATCACAGCATAGGAGCCAGGGAAGAGGGCAAGAAGGAAGATGGAAAAGCCAGTGAGAAGTAGGGAAGAACCTGAGGAGGGAAAAGGGCAGGGAGGCAAAAGGAAGGCGTGGAAGGAAGAAGGGAGGAAAGGAGGGGACAGGAGGGAGTCTGGGAAGGGAAGGGGTGGATTTGGAGGCAGAGCTCCGGATGGCCTTGAACCAGCTGACTCCGGTCCCTGGCAGCCTAGGTAGAGTTAGAGAGGCCTGAAGGGAGGCTGGGGAGGACTGGCTCAGGGGGGCTCTGAAGTCCGGAGAATGGCACACACACAGACAGCCAGGACAGACAAGACAAAACGGACTAGAGGAGAAAGGGAAGGGCAAATGGGAGTCCCTTTCTCATGTAGTGCAGCAGGTGACTCCCCAAAACCCATCTCAGAAAACAGATTTTAGCAGTGGGGTAAGGGTGAAGTCTGGGGCCTCACTACCCCCATTCCCATGGGGGAGCCCTCAGGGTGATGCCGGCGCCCTTGGAGACAGAAATACATGGTGTGGAATGGCACAGGACCATGACAGGTGAGGGCACGAGGAGCCCCCAGCTCACCTCCCACCCACCTCGGGAGCCGCATGCAGGGGCTGCGGAAACGAGGTGAGTGGGTGTTCATGAGGGAGAGAGTGAGCACGCCACACAACACCACAACATCAGGCCGGGAAATGCACATGAGAGGTAAAGTGCAGGAAACACTGACTACTGAGTGGCTGAGCTGAGCACGGAATGTGGGAAGGAGAGTGCAAATGTGAGACGACAGGGAGAACGTGAGAGTCAGCTGAGCGGAGCGGTGTGGACTGGGAGAGGGTGCAGGCGCGTGTGCAATGGCCTGTGACGGTGAAGGTGACTGTGCAAGGCTTTCATGTGAGTGCGCAAGGGTGGGGACAGGGACCCAAAGTCACAAATATGTGAGGCCCCCACCTGCAGGAGGGCGAGCAGATAGGATTGCCCATAGGGCCAGGGAGCCTTCCGGGGTGGTGTGCAAGGGTAGGAGCCAGGAGCCCCTGTGGCCCCAGCTCCCCACAGCTGCCCCACCCTCAGTGGGATGGGGGCTGTGCCGGCCCCTTGGCCTCCTGCTTGGCTGCACCCCAACATTGGGGGGCATCACAGATTCACCAGGGGAATCCTGAGAGGAAGAGGGAAAGGGCACAGTCAGGAACCAAGGGGTAGGCCAGACTAGAAGGGGAAGTTCAAGACAAAGAGGGGGAATCAAGGTTAAGAGGGCAGAATTGTCTTAGACAAGGTGGCATGAGAAAAAAACCAAAGAGGGCAGAGTTGGAGTTACGGGCAACAGAGAATAGGACACAGATCCTGAGAGACTGGGAGAAGGAAGGGTTCCTTCCAGAGAGGAGCTGGTCCAGCCCTCTTGGGAGGGCCCGGGGCCAGGCTGGGAAGAAGAGTCAGGGGCTGTGGGAGGCCACGCCTGCCTCCTCGTCACCCCCCCATGGGGCACCCCCACCCCAGCTCTGAAGACCTAGGTCGCCTTCCCTCTGTGCCCTCCCATCCCATTGCCCCTGCCCTCACCGGTTCAACTGGAAGGCTGGAGCCCCCTTGGGGTGGGGCATCCCAGGCCGGGGTCCCCCTCGGGGCTCCTCATGGTCAGGGGTTGGGGTAGGCGAGTCCCCGAAGGCCCCCAGCACAGTGACTCCGGCCGGGGACAGGTCTGTCAGCGGCTGCTGGCTCTCCTCCTGCCTCAGGGCACCTTGCTGCCCTGAGGGTCTGCGTCGCTTCTGGCTGCGGTCCCAGCTGGGGCACCAGAGGGAAAGAGGATCTCTTGTACACTCAAGTAGCCTCCATCCTGGGCCTGTCACCCCCAACCTTGCCCAGTCATTCCCAACATCTTACAGCAGAGAAACTGGCCTCTAACAGGTCCCTCTACTAAATGCCCTGGGACTGTGCCCATAAAACCACTTCCCCTGCCCTCTAGGGGGGCTTGGAAATCTAAACCTCCTTGCCCTCCAAACTTGATCCAGATCCACAGAATTAGAATCCCCTCCTCGCCAACACACAGATTCCCACCACAATGTCCTCTCCCCTGCAGGCCCAGAAGAGTCATTTCTTTCCCTGGCAGGCAGCTGGCCAGTTGAACTAGTTCTAGTTCAAAGCAAGCTAATGACCTGGACACCTGAGTCTAACAATTCTCTCAGTAAAGTGTGAAGGACTGAGTGATCCATTATTAAATGTGTGCAAAGAAAGCTCTTGATTTTTGGCTGGGCGCAGTGGCTCACACTTGTAATCCCAGCACTTTGGGAGGCCGAGGTGGGCGGATCACGAGGTCAAGAGATGGAGGCCATCCTGGCCAACATGGTGAAACCCCGTCTCTACTAAAAATACTAAAATTAGTTGGGCGTGGTGGCGTGCGCCTGTAGTCTCAGCTACTCGGGAGGCTGAGGCAGGAGAACTACTTGAACCCGGGAGGCGGAGGTTACAGTGAGCTGAGATCGCGCCACTGCACTCCAGCCTAGCGCCTGGTGACAGAGAGGAACTCTGTCTCAAAAAAAAAAAAAAAAAAAAAAAAAAAGAAAGCTCTGCATTTTCTCACTCCCCCCAGGCAACCCTAAGAAGGGCTTTGCAGACTGGGTCAGCTTTCTCTGGAAATAGGGCAAGGGAAGTCCACCAAAGCCCCCAGTGCACAGAAATAATTCCCCTGCGCTCCCAATATCCTTGTATTTTCCTGGGAGACACAATCCGCCCTGATTTCTCACTGTCTTCCCCTAGCCAAATCCTTATTATATTTGCCCAAGGCCTGCCTTCATCCACCATTTCCCACCCACCCCCCAGCAAAATTGCCGCTCCTGCGCCTCCTGGCTAGAGCCAAACATTCCAGCCCCATCCACCAGCACCCTCCTTCTCCCAACTTACCAGAACTTGAAGATGATGCCAGTGGCCACGAGAACAATGATGATGGAGATAGTAATTGTGACATAGAGCTGGGGGTCCACACCTGATTGGGGTGGGAAGAAAGTTTTAGGGAGCCCCAAGGTGGTAGGAGCCAAGAGGGCCCAGGGACTTGGCTGTGGACTCTGTCGGCTGGAGTGGCATTGCTGTGGACTCACACTGCCTGACCGTCTGTTCCTCTGAAGCCTCCCTCTTCATTCTTATCAACAGCATTTCCTTGAGTTTTCAGCTCTTTTTCTCCACTGTCCCAAAAGCATTTCACCAAATCTTACATGTATATGTGATGAGGACAAGGCCCCATGATCACAGAGAACCTATCACTATGCCTAGAAACTATGTCTCTGCCGTGGCCCAACTCCCAAACCACCGGCCCTGTTCCTCCATTGGCACTCCCCAAGCCAAGACATCACCTGCGTAGTGCCCTTCATCCATGGCGTTCTCTGCCTGGAATACTCCCACTGTTTTCAAGGTCCAGCTCAAATGTCAATTCTCTGAAGGTGTCCTGATCCCCAGGCAGGAGGAGACTCTCCCTTCTCTCTTTTCCTAAATCATGCTGCGCGTGCCTCTATTAAAGCATTCATTATGTTGACTCCTCTCCATGTACTTTTATATCTGTCTGCTCCAGTGGACCTGAACTCCACGAGGGCGTCTTTATCTCTGCATCCTGTGCCAGTATAGTGCCTGACACATTTGTTGAAGGAACTAACAGACAAGGCCTCTATTCCTGCCCCTTTGTGTCTTCACCCAGCCTCCCCATCCTTCATATCCCTCCCAGCTTTTCCCACTCACCTTCCCCGCGGCCCCCAAACAGGAACGGCCGCAGGGTGGCAGGTGCCTCTCCAAGGATAAGCCCATCTCCATCGCCCCGCATGGAGTCTGAGTTGGGGTGTGGGGTTGCGAGCCCATGAGGGGCTGCAAAACCATAGTCCAGAAATCCAGGATTGGCAGAGCTGGGGTCCCCTCCATCCTCTCGAGACACGGTGGGACCCCACACAATAGCCCAGGGGTACTGGGATGAGGGTGGCCCCTCCTCAAAGCCTGATGGGGTGGCTGGGGGTGCAGTGCCAGGCAGGACTTGCCGACGTGATCTTGGGACCCGGGGGGATCGGCTTGGTGGAGGTGCCCGCTCCCATACGCACACGTGACGTGGGGCTGAGGGGCCTCCCCGGGCACACGGGGGGCGGGCTGGGGCTGGTGGGGTTCGAGGGGAGGAGGAAGAGCCCTGAGCAGGCGGTGGGAGGGGCAGCAACAGCAGTGGCCAGAGAGGGAGGAGGTGGGACAGCAGCAGCGCAGGCCTGCAAGAAGGGAGAGAATGTGGCTGAGACACAGGCCCACTGTGGGCCTACGTGTGGGAAGGGCAGGCTCACATCAGAAATCTCCAGGTGGGCCTGGGGAAAACTCTCGCCTCATTTCCCATTTTCCTAGGGAGGATGGCCCTCAGGAGGGAAGGCCCTGGATGCGTCTAGGAAGGAGTCATGACCCCAGGGAACGTGGTCTCCAAGCTCCCTCTGCTGGGCCAAACTTACCACATCCTGGACTCCATGTCTGAGGTCTTCCTCAGCTGTGACCCAGATTTTCAGCCTTTACTGAGAGAAAAAGGGGGCTGTTACACCCCCAGCCCTGCCCTGTGTGCTTCCCCAGCTAATTCATCCACCAATTCTACCCGCATCTGCCCTCCTAGGCCACCTGGCTGCCAGCTATGCTGCTGCACCCAGGATCCACTGCTGCTTAGCATCCTTTTGGGGGAAAACTCCGGCGTGGTTGCCTGACCAGACCCCAGCCCCATCTACAACTTCTCAGGTCCCTGTTACCTCTCCACCCCAGGGTCTACTCTGGCTTCTCCGGCTTCCTTTCTTCTCACTTCCTCTGCCCACAGCTCCAGGCTTTTCTTGGATCTTAATTTAGAGCCAAGAACCTTGTGATTCCTTGAGCACCTACCGCTAGGGAGGGAGTCTGAGGGTGGGGGGAGGGAAGGGAAAGTCAATCTGAGCGAGCGAGTGTGTGTGTGTGTGCGTGCAGGGGGCCCTTCTAGCCCTCCCACCCCACTGGCAGTGCCAGGTATTTGTCTTATGATTAGGAGTCTGCATCTTCAGCAGAAAGGGAGGAAGAGATGGAGGGATGGAAGGAAAGAGACAGAGAGAGAGAGGTGAGTGGGAGAAAAACTACAGAATGTCATTTTTGCTCTTCATGTTTGATCCTCTAAGTGCATAGGTGCCCTCTGAAAGGAGGTGGAGTCAGGAAGAAGCCACCCCTCAGATGTGGCTCTCCTGGGTAAAGAATCCGGGAAAAATCAGTATGGTTGGTTTTGAAAGAGAAAGGGTATATGTTCTCAGAGCTGAGGGTGGTGGATCCAGAAGGGGCAGGATCCCCAGAGGGAGTGAAGACAGGACAACCCGTGTCCTCTGGATTCTGGGTCTAAATCTGCCCAATGGATCCGGCACGATGGCTCATGCCTGTAATCCCAGCACTTTGGGAGGCCGAGGTGGGCAGATCACCTGAGATCAGGAGCTCAAGACCAGCCTAGCCAACACGGTGAAACCTCGTCTCTACTAAAATACAAAAATTAGCCCGGCGTGGTGGTGGTTGCCAGTAATCCCAGCTGTTCGGGAGGCTGAGGCAAGAGAATCGCTTGAACCTGGGATGCCGAGGTTACAGTGAGCCGAGATCACGCCATTGCATTCCAGTCTGAGCGACAAGAGCGAGACTCCGTCTCAAAAAACAAATTAAAATAAAAACAAAGAAATCTGCCCATTTAATCTTCCAAGAGAACAACAGTGAAATAAGATGGGAACGTCAGGGGAAGGGAATGGGGAAGTGGCAGTGGGAGAGATGGGAAGGGGAGAAGGGCCGGGAGAGGAAAGGCTGGTTAAGAGTAAGACAGGAGGGTGAGGAGGAAGCCGGCCTGGAGTGCGGGGTGAGAGAGAGCAGACAGTCCTGAAAAAGAGTGGACTGGGAAGAGAGAAGGAGAGTGGGTACAGAAGACCTGAATTCTGGAGGCTGCCGAAGGGAGGAAAGGATGGGAGAAAAGGTCGGGGAGGGGAAACGGAGAGGGTGAAGGGGTCACAGGTGCAGGGGAAGAAGGGGCGGGAGGAGAAGGAGAGAGCGGTCCAGGCAGGACAGCCAGAGGAAGGGGAAGGGAGAAGAGGGTGAAGAGCCCAGGATGGGGAGAAAGGAAGTGGAAAAGCAGAGAACATAAATGCTGAAGACAAAATGACATGAGGAAGGGGCCGGGAAACAGAGGCGGGGAGCAGCAAAGATGGAGGAGTTGGGAATTGCTCCCCTAAATGTAAAGGGATGTAGAGACGCCGAAAGAGATAGGGAGGGGGCATGGTGGGAAGAAGGGAGAGAGAGGGGAAGCGAGGAAGGCTGGAGGGAGGGAGCGAGGCGTGTAGAGCGAACCAGTGAAGTGGAGAAGGGCTCCCGGGCGCATCTGTGGCCAGCTGACTCCAGCACTCTCGCCCCTCCGCCTGTGCATTCCCCCCAACCAGCGCCAACCCAGCCCCTGGGCCCCGCACGGCTTCAGCCGCCCCCTCCAGGAAGCCCGCAGTCCCCGGGCTGGCGCGCTACCCCCACCCCTCTCCCCGCTCCTCACCGACCTGTTGTGCGCAGGAGACCAGCTGGGGGTGGGGAGGGAGCCACGGGGTGCGGGAGCCGGGCCCCATCCCCAGCGTGGCCCCCAGGCCACCCATCCTGCAGGCCCGCACTCCGCGCACAGGGCTGGCGAGCGGCGAGAGTGGGGGGAGACCAGGAAAAGGAGGTCGACGAAGGGACTCCGCGGCAGGGAGCGCCGAGAGCAGACTGGGGACCCGAAGCAGGAGGCTGCGCGGAGCCGCCCGCCGAGCCGAGGCGGGATGGAGGCAGCCGCAGGGATGGGGACGGCTGCGCCAGGGAGCGAGGGAGCGAGCCAGGACCGCGGAGGATGGAGAGCTCTTCGGGGAAGGGGCGCCGGGAGGCTGCAGGCTTCGGCCCGGGCGAGGGGCCGCGCCGGGAGGGGCAGCAGGCGAAGGGCGCGGAGCCGCGAAGGGCAGGGCCGGGCTCCCCGCGGGTGGGGGTGTGGGGGTCCCTCTCGCTCACCTGCATGCCTGGCGCGGCGGCGCGACGACTGCGGGCGCTCGGGGCTGCGCGGGGCTGGGGAGCCGCAGGAACGGGCGGGGTGCAGGGCATGGTCGGGAGGTTTGGCCCGCGGCAGGGCGCTGGAGCTGGTGGGGGGCGGGCGCCCGGGGCGCGGGGCGGCGGCGGCGGGAGATGCTCGCCTCGGCTCGGCTCGGCTGGGCTCGGCTGGGCTCGGCGCGGCGGCGGGGACCGCTCCGTCTCCGCCTCCCCCTCCCGCCGGAGGCCACGCGCGTTTTAACCCTCCCGCTGCCGCGCTGCAAGAGTCGCGTCCCGCTCTGTCCGAGATGGAGGGCTGGAGAGGGTGGCGGGGTCCAGTGACCTTCCGGCTCCCTGGGTTCTGATGGCAGGTCTCCTCACCTCCTTCACCCTAACTCTAGGGACACCCATGGTCGCCTCAATCCGTTTCTGAGATTCCGAGTCACTCAATGCTCCGCATTCGCAACTTTGTTTTGTAGAGATGGGGTCTCACTGTGTTGCCCAGGCTGGTCTCCAATGCCTGGGCTCAGGCGATCCCCCCTGCTCAGCTTCCCGAAGTGCTGGGATTATAGGCGTGAGGCACCACTGCCGTCCCCCAACTTTGTTTTGCCCGCTGTGGAAACTGTCTGAGGTCAAAACTGGGGGCCAGGGGTGGAGGGAAGGACTGGGGAGGAAGGACCTTGCACCATCTTCGGATTATCCCCACAGCTCGGTCCCCCATTCCACTCTGGCCCTGCTACCGTGCATTAAGTGGATCAAGTCAAAATTCCTGGGTGTTTCCAGCACTCCTAGGTGCTCTCTGATTTCCTTTTCTAAAGATTTCTATGCCTCAGCCACAGGGGACCTGATGGATGTTCCCGGATGCAAATAAGCTTAACCTGCCTCAGGGCCTTTGCACTTGCTGCTCCCTGTATCTGGAATGCTTTTCCCTGGCTTTTCACAATGACTCACTGTTTTCATTCCAGTCTCACTTAGGTCCAACGCCTTCTGGGAGGTCTTCCCTAAGCTCTCTATCAAAAGGAGGCGCGGTGGCTCAAGCCTGTAATCCCAGCACTTTGGGAGGCCGAGGCAGGTGGATCACGAGGTCAAGAGATCAAGACCATCCTGGTCAACATGGTGAAACCCTGTCTCTACTAAAACTACAAAAAATCAGCTGGGCATGGTGGCGCGTGCCTGTAATCCCAGCTACTCAGGAGGCTGAGGCAGGAGAATTGCCTGAACCCAGGAGGCGGAGGTTGTGGTGAGCCGAGATCGCGCCATTGCACTCCAGCCTGGGTTCAGGCAATTCTCCTGCCTCAGCCTCCTGAGTAGCTGGGAAAACGGAGCCTCCCTGCCCCTTCTCCCACCACCTGGACCCCATCCCTCCATACCACACTGTCCTGTTTTTCCTCAGGGCACTTCTAGGGCACCACACTCCCCTCCTTTCCCTCCAGCCTGACTGGCTGTTCTTAGTCTTCCTCGGGTGACCTCTAAATGTTGGATTCTCCGAGGGCTTAGTCCTTGGCCAGCCATTCTCTCTTTCCACATTCTCTGTCCAGTGATCTCATCCGGTCCCAGGGCTTAAATACTATGTAAATGTCAGTGAGTCCTAAATTTATATCCAAAGCGCCAGACTTATTTATCCAACAACCTACTTGACATCTCCACTTGGATGTCTAATAGCCATGCAAAGCTAATGTGACTAAAATAGATGTCTTGAATTTTCCCACCCCCAATCCATTTCTCTCCCAGTGATCCCCATCCTGGGGCTTGACAACTACTGGTTGTTCAGGCTAAAAATCTAGGAAACATCCCTCCTTTCCCCTTTTTTTCACTGATTCCCTCCCTGAATCTAATTCACCAAAATTCCTGTGAGCTCTGTGTCCAGAATATATCCTGAATCCATCTCCGTCTCTCTGTCTTAATTGCTGTAGTCCTGGTCTAAGCCATCATGTCTCATCCAGATTATCATAATAGCTTCTTCACTGGTCCCTTGCTTCTGTCCTTGTTTTTACAAACTAGTTTAGCAATATTGATAATATTTTAAAAAATCAAAACCATGTCATGCTCTTCCCTGCTTAAAATATTCGAGTGGCTTTTCATTACTTGGAATAAATCTGAACTCCTCGTAAGGAGAAGCCCCCCCAGCCTGTACCCTGCTCATACACAGTGCTCCTGCTGGCTCAGACTACTTGCTGTTCTAGAACATCAAAAGTCATTCTTTTTTTATTTTATTTTATTTATTTATTTATTTTTATACAGGGTCTCTCTCCGTCCCCCAGGCTGGAGCGCAGTGGCACGATCTCAGCTTACTGCAACCTCTGCCTCCCAGGCTCAAGTGATTCTCCTGCCTCAGCTTCCCAACTAGCTGGGATTACAGATGATTTGCAGCACTACCACCCCACTTATTTTTGTGTTTTTAATAGAGACAGGGTTTCACTATGTTGGCCAGGCTGGTCTTGAACTCCTGACCTCAAATGGTCCACCCTCCTTGACCTCCCAAAGTGCTGGGATTATAGGTGTGAGCTACCACGCCTGGCCCTTGCACTTTTGATTTCCTCTTCCTGGAATGTTTTGCCACCCTTCTCCCCATCTTCACCTGGTTGGCTTCTTCCTCCTTGCTCAAAATCTAAAGTGGCCTCACTCTATTTCATCACTATGTTTATCTTTCCAACTCATCATTTCTTTTCTTCTTCTTTTTTTTTTTTTTTTTGAGACGGAGTTTTGCTCTTGTAGCCCAGGCTGGAGTGCAGTGGCACGATCTTGGTTCACTGCAACCTCTGCCTCCTAGGTTCAAGCGATTCTCCTGCCTCAGCCTCCTGAATAGCTGGGATTACAGGCGCACACCACCATGCCCGGCTAATTTTTGTATTTTAGTAGAGACAGGGTTTCACCACTTTGGCCCGGCTGGTCTCGAACTTCTGACCTCAGGTGATCTACCCGCCTCGGCCTCCCAAAATGCTGGCACTACAGGCATGAGCTGCTGCGCCCAGCCGAACTCATCATTTTCTGAAATAATTTTATATGTGTTTACTGTTTATTGTCTGCTCCCTCCTGCTCCCTAATACATTAGAGAGCCAAGATCTTATTTGTCTTGCTTACTGTGTATCCCAACTCCTACTGCAGTGCCTTGCCTTGGCATGTAGTAGATGCTCAGCATGTACTGCTTAGTGAACTTCTCCTGAGACCCCTGCCTACTCTGAACTCTTAATTCTCTCCCCTGCTGTCCTCCTGTCTTTCCTCTCTAGCTGCCTGCTCCCCACCGATCTCTGCCCTGTGCCAAATGCTTCAGGTTGAGCCCGTGCTCATGTCTCCACCCCTCCAGATTCTCTCCCTTCATCTGCTGCATTGTGA